AAGACTGGGGGACATCTGCGCTTATGGGATTCTATATTGTTAATATTTGAACTTAAAATAAAAGGCTAAAAAGTAGTGTCATAGCCATAAGCAGCAAAAGCTAACCAGAAAATGAAATGTTCATTTCTTGTGATGCAGAAGACAGTGACCTACGCAGTTTGATAGAGGGCTTAAAATAGCACCCAAGCCTGTGTGGGTCTCTATCCTTGGAGGGTTGTACAGAAATGGCCTAGGATCACCTGTATGTCAGATGTTTGAATTGAGATTCACAACGTTGGCAAAACTACAATTGTAAAATAACAACAGGAAAAAATTTTGTAATAGGGGATCACTACAACATGGGAAACAATGTTAAAAAGTCATAGCATTAAAATATTAACTAATGGTTTAAAAATGTATTTCCTGTTCAAGGTCTATTCAGGCTTTAAAATGTACGTTTAGCCTCGTTGTCTTTGCTAAGTTTCTTGGGTTTAAGCTATTTGGATAATGAGAGTTATAAAATTTTGTATTGGTACTAACAGGAACTTCAATTGAAAAATTGTTGTTTTCTAAGGTTCCCTCCTGTTCCCATTTTACCCTGTGACCTTTTCCTTGCCTTCACTGGAGACAGTATTAACAGCTGGATGCACACTTGTTCTGTTTTTAGCCTTGGAATGACTAACTCAGTTTCCTTATTAGCTTCAATTCATAATCATTACAGAGTGTGGAGTTCTAGTCTTAGGAAAGCTGCTAACTTCTTATAGACTGTTAAAAAATACAAGTTAGTCAGTCATCCTTAAAGTACTGACATAATTAATTACAGGAATAAGCCTCACTCAGTTCCTTGTATAAGTTTTCGAAGTCAAACTTGAAACAAGTAACTAGAAACAAAGTTTGTCTAATCTGATATATCTAGGCAGCCCTCATACTTCAGAGATCTGCAGAATATGGCACTTAAAATAATGATTAAAAAGCTTATATAAGAAAGAGACTCCGAGATCCTAGCAGTGACCCATGGTCTCCAAAGAATGCTATGGTATACCATGATGTCTCCATCTGGATTATGATGATGCTGCCCACTGGGCGAGATGCCCCAGTGCAATACCTGCTGCCAGGACCCAGTCCAGACTGTTGACCAACAGCAGGGCATTGAAGAACAGATTCTTCAATCTGCTCAGTGTTGCTTTCTGGGAAATGAGGAAAGACATTTGACACCAAGCCTCATCTTGGCTACTGAGAGAACTGTCATCTCTGAGGTCACTCGACTTAAAGGGCATTTTTATTATTGTTTTGTCAAGTCTTGGTGGAAGACAGTCCCTTTATTATGCAAAACGGGTCCGGGGGAAATCAGAAAATTTCTTGTCCGCCTCTTCTCTGCAGTCCGACTCCCCCAACTACCTTCTTCGCCTTGTAGAATTGGCAGGCTCTGGACCTTTAGCATGCTGGAGAAAATCTCTGTTTTGCCTCCAGCAAGGAACATGCATGTTGCAACACTGACTCCTCCTCTAGTGAAGAAACAGTGAACAAGTGCACCGAGTTGAGCTTCTTCGGAGAGACACGCGGCGACTGCGGGAGCAGAGGCTAAAATCCCCAGAAGGCTGGGCTTTCCCCGCCTTCCTGTTCCGTCTTACTTTCCTGCCTTCCGGATTTTTACCCAGGGTTTAGGAAACAGCTTCACCTGCAGCAATAAAGCTCGCGTCCATTGCAGGCAGTGTGCACCACCTGGTATGGCAGACTTTTCTCCCTAGCAAAAGTGAGTACCCAGGCTGGACATGTCTGCGCGCGGCCAGGGGTGTTGCAGGTTCGAGGCCACCTGTGCAAGCGGAGCAGTTGGCTGCAGGCGCCTATAGCTTGGGGAAATGCCAGGCAGCAGCCAGAGCCTGCGGGCTTGAGGAAATCCCGTCCCGTGCTGTGACCATGCTTAAAGCCAAACCTTGATGTCCCTCTTAGAAGAAGCTAAATATATGCCAAGGTGCTTGTCCACGCACCCCAGATTTTACAACTGAGCTGGGCATATTTTAAAATATGCCTTCAAGTGAGCCCTTGAAAACAGGTGCAGCGTGAGTGTGGGTTACTGGGGTTGCAGGTGGTTTGTGTCAAAATGAAAAGCTAGGGAGCAAGCAGGGAGGTGGAAAGGAATCAGACATGGGACACGATAGCAGCTAACTTGGGCTGTCTCCTTTGGGCAACACAAATGGGTGCCTGGTAGCTACACTGAGTTATCTGTACCCTGATTCCCTCCCCGCCCCTGCCGACGCAAGATGGCACAGACCACCCCAAAGGAAGCTGAGTAGTGGCAGAGAAACTTCTGCCAGTTTTAACCTGCTGGCCAGGCGCTAGGAATTCATGTCCTGGGGGTAGAAGCAAGGACACACTGCTGAAGCAGGGTGCAGGCAACTGGGGAGCAAAGAAGGGGGCTCGACTCTGAAAACCCAAATTGCTGGTAGGAGAAAGCAATGGGTTTTGGTTATGTCTTTTTGAATAGAAAAATATCCTGTTAGTGACCTATACCTGCGTGTATATTTCCTTTTATTAATTGTTTTAAGCATAAAAATTATGCAAAGATTTATTCATAATGGTTATGAGTAATTCATTATATTTTTAGTCATATCTATTGTGCACATTGTCACAGTTGTTTAGTTTTTTATTCATAGAGTTGAGGTTGCTTACTGTTTGTCTGATTAAAAAAATAACCTGTTGTTAATGTTTTATACACACATTCACATCCACACATCCACACATCCTCTCTCTCTCACACACGCATTTCTTTCAAAAAGTTATTTTCTCTACATTGGTCACTGGAATGTAATGTGGAAGATCCTCCTGAATATATGTGGCTTTTATTAGTTAATGAATATAGCTGTTTTTGGCCAGTGGTTTGGCAGAATAAAGCCAGGCAGAAAATCTGAACAGTGGTAGAAAGAGTAGGAGGAGTCAGACAGATGCCATGGAGCTGCTGAACGAGGGACACACCATGTAGCTCTGAAGGAGACAGACACCAGAACCTTGCCTAGTAAGCCACAGCCTTGTGGTGATACACAGAAAAATAGAAATGGGTTCATTTAAGATGTAAGAGCTACCTAGAAATATTCCTAAGCTATTGGACAGGCAGACAGTTTTATAATTAATATAGTTTCTGTGTAATTATTTGGGTCAGGATGGCTGGGAAGGAAGCAACAGTCTCTGCTTACAGAAATGCTTTTTAGTGCGTTCTGATCACACTTAGTACTCCATGTTCTCTCTCCCCTTATCTACTTTCCTTCTTACAAATATCTCTCCCATATTCATGTCTTTGTGGATATGTGTGTGTGTGTGTATTATGTGTCTATGTGTGTGTGTGTGTGTGTGTGTGTGAGAGAGAGAGAGAGAGAGAGAGAGAGTGAAAGAGAGAGAGAGAGAGAGAGAGAGAGAGGAGAGGTCTATGTGTGTGTGTATTCTGTGTCTATGTGTCTGTGTGTGTGTGTGTGTGTATGTGTGTAAGAGAAAGGGAGAGAAGAAGAGAGGTCTATGAGTATTGTATGTATGTATTTGTGTGTATATATATATATCAGTGTGACCATACATACACATGTAAACATGTATGTGGAAGCTAGGTGTCATTAGGTATTCTTCTTAATACATCTTACCCTACTTTTTGTGATGGGGTTTTTACTGAACTTGAAGCCTCCTGATTAATCTAGACTGGCAGGCCCAAAAGGTCCCAGGTTCACCTTCTTTACCTTCCTTTACCTTCCTAGTGCTGGGATTATAGGTGCCTGGGTTTTTTTTTTCTTTTGGTGAATATTGGGTATCAGTACTTAGGCTGACAAGTGCTTCTTTCACCTAACCATCTCCCTGATTCTGACGTCTGATGAAGAAGAAGATGGATGTCTCAGCTCCTAAAGAGGAAAAAGAAAAAATCTGCATTTTTGTTTTAATTTTTGTACTTCTAGGCCTGAGCAAATGTGACAGTGCTCAGCTATTTTGGGTGAGGGTGATTTTCCTTACACTCTTCACTGCTACAAAGGCTACTTCCATCCTGATGCGATCTCACATATGGTCAGCAATAAAACCTTCCCAAGTATCTGAGTATCCCTTAATGTAGTGAAGCCGACATTGAAATTAACCATCACATTAACGCATGTGAAAGTACGGGAAAGTAGGAGGACTGGAGATTTGCTGTGAAGAACAATGCAGCCCCTTTTCTCACATTATTTCTCCTTTTTGGTCTTTTCATCTGTGTGACTGTGAAGCCAGCATGAGTATATGAGAAGGTAATGTTTACATTCAGACGTAGGTAAAGACATAGACACAGACACAATGCTGCAAAGCAGAACTCCAGGCGGTATTCCTCTGCATGCTTTGTTTGTACTGAAGCAGACTCTCTTCTACTTTGAGGATGCACTGGGAAACTTCACTACAGCTGTTAAGTTTTCAACTAGGAATGTGAAGATGACCACGTGAGACAATACACTCCTTCCTCTTGGGTGGATTTACAAGTGACAGAACTGGAAGCTGTCTTGTGCTTGCACATGGGAGGATGGTGTAATGCGTCCATTCTGCTTTATGGTGCTCATTCAGAACCGTGGGTTCAATCTTAATTGTTTTGTCTTCAGGTAAATTCCTGAATTTAGGCCATGAGCACATTGTTGTGACTTTGTGACTAGTGAGAGGCCTTGAGGAAAAATCTTATGTGTTTTCCTGGGAAAGTAGCTTATTATTGCCATTACTGGAGATTTTAGAACTAAAACCTGGCTTAATGGGTAACAGGTATGGCAGTAGAATACAAGTATAGAAATAACAAAGGAGGCAGAGTCTTATAAGTTAGTGACTAGGCCTGTAAAATGTTCACGGTACACGTCACTTCAAAATACTGTCATTGACAGGCTTTCTCAAGGTCCCTTCAATCAGTTTAGAGAGTTGTGTTGGAGCAGTAAAGAGGATATTGGGGCTAAAGTACAAATTAAATATTAACCCATTTTCTATTCATCTACCAACTCAGATTAAGGAGGGTGAAACAGAATGTCCTATTGAAAGTGAGCTGCAGAGACAAGGTAAAGAACAAGTGGGCATTTGGAAGACCAGAAAAAGATCTCATCTTTTTTTTTTCTTCTTAATCTCATTTCAGGGCCAAAGCCAGTGCTTTGCAACCGAGGCTCCCAGGGATCCTTACTTATGCACATTCTCAAGGTCTGGATAGTATACCTGTGTTCTGTGAGTTCTACACATGGCTGGGCATCGGATTTGGCTTCTAGTGAGCTTATTCCTCACTGAGGCTCTTTTCTTAGAGGCTTCAAAAATACTGACAATAGGTGCAATGGGTGAGTACCTGCTGGAAATAGAGAGTCTTGTAAGATCAGGACATTTGGGATGACATGTCTCCTAAAAACAGCACATAGGGGATTATCTATACATGAGATTTTATAGCTAGGCTGAGATCAACTCTGAGGGAAGTCATATGGAGTGTGCAATGTGGTGCTTAGTAGTGACTGTACCAAAGGGTGGGGTAAACAGTACATTGAAATAGCATCCGATGTAGAAACAACAGAAGTAGACTGAGCGGTGTGTTGTAAAGAAGACAAGAAAGGCTTCTCTGCTGGGACTTTAGGTTATGAGTAGACAGGAGGCATATTAGTCAAATTTATCAGTCTGTTCCTCCAAAAAAATGGATCAGTGAGCATTTCCAAATTTTTTTCTGAGGGAGTCTATCATATATAAACATATTTGATTTCAAAAGAACTTCATCTGTATAAACACTCAGTCACTGAAGTTTGCATACCAGTAATCCACCATATTATTCAAGAAAATGATATGCTATTCTTAACATCACAAATATCCTGGCTATGTTGTTTGTAATGAGGCTCATGATAATCTGTAGCGCTCAGAGATACATGATCACCAATAAAAGTAACAGTTGGATAAGGGGAAATACATATAAGTACTAAAAGGCAACAGACCACTTTAAACCCACATATAGGTTTTGTGAAAACATATTTTTCAAATGATCAACTTGTTTGCATTTATAGTTGAATACGTGTGACCCAGAGACTAGGGCAAGAAATGACATGTAATAGGAAGGCAGAGTTGACGAATGTGTTTTCCTATTTAAAATCTCAATTAGACATCTATGGGTACCAGCAAAGAGTCAAGATTTTAGCAAAAGTAAACTTCAACCTCCACAAATGAACATAGACTGCTAATTTGCAATCCATGACCACAATACAGTTGTAACAGCTATTTCCCAATGTCAAGTTGTCAGGAAATAACTCATGTGTCATTGTGCTCCATGACTTCCAAAATTAATGATTCTTAAAAGTAAATGAAAATCAAGTGACACTTAGATTGTTTTGCAGTACTTGTAAAGAAGAGTTTTTCATTCTGAAATGAGTATGATTCTGCTCTTATAGACTGGTTATGCCTTTGCTTACTCTGTAGAATTTCTAAGGAGTTTATATAAATTAAGGTACTTTATCATTAAGTCCTTTGTGTATACATTTGAGTATCTATCTGTAACTCTGCCTTCTTCAGCTGTCCTAATCATAAGGGAATGCTGTAAGCATTTCAACCTTGGTTCATAATCTAGTGTTTTATGGCAGAGCTATTGACATTATGGATTTAACAATGAATAGAAAGTTTATTGTATCTGGTACTGTTCACTACTCCCAACTATCTCAGTAAGATGATAATTAAAAAAAATCATTTATTCTTATTGTATGAATATTTTACCTACATGTATGTCTGTTTGACACCCATGTGCCCAGCCCCTGTGGGGGTTGTAAGGAGGCTTCAGATATACTAAAACTTGATTATAGGCGGCTCTGAGCTTCCACTGGGTGCTGGGTATTGAACCTTAGCCCTCTGGGAGAACAGCCAGCATTTTTAACCAGAGAGCAATCTTTCCAACCTCTGGCACATCCTTTGTGGGTTTTGTTTATTTGTTTCCTTTTTTAGAGAGTTTTTTGTGCAGCCCTGTCTGTGCTTCAATTAGTTCTGTAGAGCATACTGGCATTGAACTCACAGAGATCTGACTGCCTCTTCCTTCCCAAGTGCTGGAATTAAAGGTTGATGCCACCACCGCCTGGGAGATAATTTTATGGAAAGCAGAAGTTTTCTTTTAACTGCTGTGGAAGTAATCATCACACAGGACAGGGGACAGAGATTTAGATGTACTATTAAGCCATAGAATCCAAGTCCTTTCTCAGTGGCAGGAATAAGACATTCAGAGATTTTCCCTCAATTTCTAAGAGATAAATATTAGAAATACTTTTTCCAAGGTAAAATTGAAGCAATGACTTGAATCACCAGAGAGATTCTAGTGGGCTCTATTGTGTTTTACCTTCTTTCTCAAAATTTTTGAAGATGGATGGTATTATAATTTTGTATTTTCTGGTTCAAATGTAATTTCCTTTTTATTTCTTTTGCATAATAGAAAACAAAAGTTTGAAAGTGTGCTTGTATGAAAGGATGATTGTACTCAACCTTTCTCAAACAATAGTTTGTCACCCTTAAATCACTTTCAGGATTGGAACTTGAGGACCTCAGTGCTGTAGCGAAACACAGACTGTAGACATGGGTTTGAAACTTCTGCTCGGTTCTCTAAAAAGGAAAACAAGGATCAAGGGCCTGGGCAGCCTCTTTCAAGCCTACATCTCATCTTTCAAATGTTACATAAATAATTCGCACACATTTCCTAATGATCTTCCTCATAGTGGAACATGCCCACTATTTTTTAAAAATTCTGATCTCATTTTCTACCTGCTTTTAAAAATACTTCTTTTATTTTCTGAGATAATTAATTTGTTAATAACACTATGTTCTCCTTCTCTTTCCTTCCTCCCAATCCTCCAATATACACCTCCATGACTTCTTTCAAACACATGGCCTCATTTTTCATTAATTGTTATAACATGCATACATGCATGTGTGTATACACATGTACTACGAACTATAACCTGCTCAGTCTCTATAGTGTTTTTAGAGATGACCATTTTATTTTGAATAACCAATTAGTGCAGTCTTCCCAGGGAAGCCTATTTCTCCCACTCTCAGTATGTCTTAGTTGCCTCTGTTTTTATTGTAGCTGTTTTTGGTTGTGTTTTGCTTTTTTCCTCTCTCTCTGCTTGTATGTGTGTATGTGTACATTGTTTGTGTGTGTGTGTCTGTCTGCAGGGTTGAAGGCTCCAGGTCTTTCCCACATTGACTTTACCATGTGTACGCTGTTGTCCTTGTTCAGCACATGTTTAGGTGTTCTTACTGCTGCTGAGATTTTATGAGTTTAACTTCTGACATTCACACAAGACATAATCTCACAGCAAACTCCATGTACCTCTGGAGGTTAATCATCTTGCCTCATATTCTGAAATGATCCCTGAAGATGTTGCTTCATCTGTCTCCTTTAGTCCTGGTTCTTTTATGTAATGAATGTAAAGATCCCAAGTCTTGATACAACACTTGTTCCTGGTCTCACTGACTTAGTTTGTCCATTTTGAAATCCTCAGGCTTTCCCCAGGAAGAACAATTTTTAAAAGAACATTCATTAGGACAGCTGTCTTACTGGACACCCTTGTTCATCATCCACGAGAACAGGAGCAGGAAGTCAGAGGTGCAGTGGGTTTTTATCTGTGCTATGTTATTTCAGACAACACAAATGGGAATGAGAAGAGTGACTCACTCAACAGATACATTCCATTTCCCTGACTTTTCCTGCTTTGCCCTAATTTCATCATGGTGCTTTTAGCTCTCCCAGTCATTCTGCCTTCCCAACCTTTGTTATACATTTTCCATTTCTTTTCTTAGTTCATCTTTCTCTGCTTCTACTTTGGACTCAAAACTAATGCTCTAAGATGCTAGTGTTGTAATGATACCTATACATTTCCTGAAGATCCCTGGATTGTTGGAGAATATATTTTGCTCTAGCTTCTCATGTGTCTGGTGCTCTTCACAACCATCCCATATGTTGAAGTCTCATGGTGATCCTTAATGACTTTGTTTTCAAGGATGTAGACTCAGGTCTAAGAAGAGAAAGTTAAGTGAGAGCTCCATCCTCAACTTTCCCATGAAAATTTCTGTCACTTAAAAGTTATCAACCTTATATTGTTATATATTTTCCTTCACTGTTGTATTTTTTTAACTCAATGACGGTAGTGGTGGGAAGACACAGTGGAAAATATAAATGCAACATAGGATGAAGGGTGTCTCATGTCCACGCAGAGTCGTGTTGGGGGAAACTTTGGCGTAACTTCTGCCACGATCCTAGCAGTGGCAGTTTCCTACTTCTTAGGGTAGAAGCTTGAGGATTAGAAAATGTTAAGTAGGAGGACAGAGATAAGAAAGAATCACAAAGACGTAAGATAGTAATGAGAGGGCAACTTAGCAAACACTGAATGATGAATTCACTGGTGTTTAGTTTCCATGCACATTTATACCCAATGCTAAAAGGGTAAGAATACAAAGGCTGCATTAACATGATACAAAGGACAACTTGAACAGTTACTTGCTTCACTACATGAGACATTAAGTCATTAATTATTGAGAAACACATTCTGTTGTTTAGGCAGTGAACCCACCCTAGACCATATATCCTGAAGGCAGCCACTCCCTAGGTCAAATCTCTTAATTCTAAAGAAGGAGCAGAAGTATGCTTGAATGCTCTGGCCTTTGGTTAGGGTGGAGTAGATCTACCTGTCTGAGCCATCTTAACATCCAAAACACAAAGCAACCACACCCTAGGTTAGGGTGTGTAGCCACACTTGTTAACAACTTGGAATAATCTAAAACTCTCTGACCTTCAGACTAGTTGGAAAAGGCTCACATTTTTGGGCCTCCACAGAGTAACTCATTATGTCAAGCATGGGAACCTTCAGATTTGTAAAATGCTTGTTTTTAATTTATGCTTATGAGTCTTTTGACTGCACATATAGCATATAAGTGAACCATGTGCGGGAAGGCAAGAAGAAGGTGTTGGATTTCCTGAAAAGGGAGTTTCAGATGGTTGTTAGCCATCATGTGTGTGCTGTGAACTGAACCCAAGTCCACTGTGAGAGCAGCAAATGCTCTTACTTGCTGGCCCTCTCTTCAGGCATGGTCTTCGTATCTTGGTGGAGGATTACTATTGGCCAGAGCTCTGGGTTCTCACCCTGGATATTCCCTACAATGTAATTGAGAACATGGAAAAGGTAGCTTCTCTCTATGGATTGTGAGGCTTTCTGTGTCTTTAAACTTACTTTTGGATTTCTTTATGTCAGTCATTTATGATAATCAGAAATCTTTTCATTATTCTCCACAAAAATGAACTTATGTCTTATTTCTAGGTGTAAGCCATTATAGATTGATGAACCGTGTGTCACAAATTCTTCAAGACCATGGCCATGATGTGACCAGTCTGCTTTATGAAAAGATATCCATCCCAGGTACTTTTAAAATCAATCTATACATTAAATCACTTTAAGTTGTAAATACTAACTTTTGATTAAAGTTGTATATGTGGTCCTTTTTAAATATATATCATGATGTATGTGTGTATGCATAAGTTTTGTACATCTCATTAGACTATGTTTTCTTGGTCTTCTATGACATATTTTTGTATGTTACTTCATGGTATAGGTTGACAGTGATTGCAGTATGTCCCCTAAACCTAAATGTGCAAGAACCAATGGTATTGAACATTATTGAGCTCTTAGAAGTAGGCCTAGTAAAAGCTGATTGGCCTATGAAGGTTTACACTTGGAAAGAAATTACATTGTCCTTGCATGTGCAGATTATTTCTCATGGGGTAGGTGTTTATAAAAGAAGGATCCTTTCCTTCTCTGGCCTCTTTCTTGTCTTTTGTCATGTGGCTCTTGTATCTACCATGATACATATCACTTTCTGTATTAAGATGCCGTGAAATGGCACCCATCAAAGGCTATTCACACAGCTTCATGCTATCTTGGACTGTGTGATTGTCTGTATTTATGCATATACATTCAAGTTCTCAATGAGGCCAAAAGAGGTGGTTGGATCACCTGGACCTAGAGGTAACCGGCAATTATGAGCTGCCTGATGTGGTTGCTGGGAACTGAAAATGGCCCTCAGAAATTCACAGTGTTAATTGCAGAGCCATCTCAGTAAAATATTAAAAATACAAGTTAACTAATATCAAGTGTTTTATTATGACTACAAAAATAGATTAAGTTACTTGAGTGTCACTCCCAGTCAACACCACACATGATTATTGATCATTTGAGAAATTCTTATGTCAAATGTGTCTGATTGTAGTGTAGAAAGACATGTTCTGCCATACCAAGGGCTTTAATTATCTAAGAATTGCTACACTCGGTGTCACACAAATCCACTTGTAGTTTTTATAAGGAGAACTACAATTTAAGAACTATTTTATAGTGACCTTTATACCTATGCATAAATTTTAGGATGTGTGATTGAGAAGACCTCAGATTCTTGAGGAATCAGTGGCTCCCCCAGAACTCTGCATAGTGATACAAGAAGGTTTTAGCTTATTGAATATAGAGAATTATAACCAAACTGAAGACAATCATCAGTCACTGCTGATAGATTAGGACACAGGAGTCTGGAAAACTTCAGTTCTTTGTTTGGATATTTTTACAGATTTAATTATCCTTAATAGTCTGGTTTTATAACTTCAATTCATGCTCACCCTGTTTTCTTAGTCCGCAAATCATTGCTCTATTGCTCAAAACTCTTATCTTAGCGTCTCAACTTTTTGGATTATACAATGAATCAGTAGATCCAACTCAGAGGTCCTTTCTCCATCCACATGCATTCAATATTTCAGATGCAATAATGGGTTAGTCTTTCTTTTCTATTTCCCAGTAGAATTTACATGGATTTATAAATTTAGAACATTACTAGGACATTTTTACCAACCTTAAACTGAAACTCTTACTGAAACATTTAAAAATTATTTTTTTTCTCTAGATCACTTTCGTTCTGTGATTATTCAACTCGATAAACTACATGACAGACATCTTGAAGATGTAAAGGTTTCTAGGATTCACATAAATTGAAAGTATTTGATAGTACTAGGGAGGAGGGTTTAATTTTTTTTAATTAAGCTCTACATTTTTCTATTCTTTCCTCTCTACCTCTTCACTCCCCTTCAACCTTCTCCCAAGGTTCCCATGCTCCCAATCTACTCAGGAGATTTTTATCTTTTTCTACTTCCCCTGTAGATTAGATCTATGTATGTCTCTCTTAGTGTCCTCATGGAGGGTTCAATGTTTTAAGCTTATAGTTCTTTGCCATTCTATAACAAGCTTCTTTACACTCAGATCAGTCTTCAAGACCTGTGCTTCGCATTTCCCTGATTGCTAAGAAGGTTGAGCATGACCTTAAGTGTCTTTTGGCCATTCGAAGTTCTTCTGTTGAGAATTCTCTGTTCAGTTCAGTACCCCATTTTTAAATTGGGTTAATTAGAGTTTTAGTGTCTAGTTTCTTGAGTTATTTGTATATTTTGGAGATCAGGCCTTTATCTGATGAGGGGTTGATGAAGATCTTCTCCCAGTCGGAAGGTAGCCTTTTTGTCTTAGTGACAGTGTCCTTTGCTTTACAGAAGCTTCTCAGTTTCAGGAGGTCCCATTTATTCATTGTTTCTCTTATACCATCTTACACCTGTCAGACTAGCTAAACTCAAAAATACCAATGATAGCCTATGCTGGAGAGGATGTAGAGTAAGGGGAACACTCATCCAATGTTGGTGGGAATGCCATAAGAGAATTCACTCATAAGAGAATTCTAGCCATAATTAAAGGTCTTTGAGCCTATAATTCGTGATCCTAGAGAAGCTAAATAAGAAGGTGAACCTGAAGAAAATCATATAGTTATGCTCCTGGATATTGGAAGTAGACAAGATTGCCAGGCAAAATTTGGGTGCATGGGGGGTTGGGGTGGATGTAAGGGGAGATGGGTAGAGAGAGGGGAGAAGGGGAGGATTGGGGAAAGCTTGGGGGAATGGAATGAGTGGGATGGAGGAAAGTTGGGTATGGGAGCAGGGAAGTATATATCTTAATTAAGGAAGCCATTTTAGAGTTTGCAAGAGACTTGATTCTAGAGGGGTTCCCAGGTCCAAGAAGAGGTCCCCAGATTGTTCCTTGGGAAGCAGAGGAGAGGGTGCCTGAACTGGCCTTGTCCCATAACCACACTGATGAATATCTTGCATATCACCATAAAACCTTCATCTGGCGATGGATGGAGATAGAGACAGAGACCCACACTGGAGCACTGGACTTAGCTCCCAAGGTCCAAATGAGGAGCAGAAGGAGGGAAAACATGAGCAAGGAAGTCAGGACCACCCACTGAGACAGTAGGACGGATCTAATGGGAGCTCACCAAGGCCAGCTGAACTCGGAGTGATTGAGCATGTGACCAAACTGGACACTCTGAATGTGGCTGGCAATGAAGGCTGACTGAGAAGCCAAGGACAATGGCACTGGGTTTTTATTCTACTGCATGGACTGACTTTGTGGGAACCTGGTTTGTTTAGATGCTTACCTTTATAGACCTGAATGGAGGAGGGAAGACCTTGGACTTCCCATGGGGCAGGAAATCCTGAATGCTCTTAAGCCTAGAGAAGGAGGGGAGGTGGGGAGGGGGAGGGAAAAGGGAGGCGGGAAAGAGGTGAAATTTTTTTTAATAAATAAATAAATAAATTTTAAAAAGACCTGTGCTTCGAAGACCTAGAAGAATGAGGTAGACTACAGTCTAATGTTGTAAAAAAAATGCTGTACTTCAGTTTTTGTGTATTTTTATACACAAATGTAATGATGAAAGCAGTGATCCAAGGAATGTTGTGTGAGTACAGAAAAACAGGATCAGAAAAACCATGTAAATAAATACCAGTAAGCACATACTAAATATTAACAGAGCAGTCCTCCCAGGATTTTCTCAGGATAGAGCAGTTTAAGAATGTACTATAGATTATATCTGGGAAAGCACAGAATCAAGATAGAAAACCATATCTTGAGCAGGGCACACTGAGGACAGCACTCAGCATATCCTTTCAGCTTATTGTGTTCTATAACTATGTTCTGATACCCATCAAGAATAACCATGTCCTATTAAATGTTTATCACAGGAGGCAGGAAATCATATCCAACCACAATCCAGGGAACAAAATGCACTTGAGGTAAAGCCCCCTTGCCTTTCTTAAAGTTGCCCAAGGCATCTTTCACTATGCTTTATTCTTTTGGCCATATTTCAACACTAACTGTAAATTCATCTATTTCTTTATATCTATCTATCTATCTATCTATCTATCTATCTATCTATCTATCTATCTATCTATCT